TTATTAGATCAGAAGTGTCATCAGATATAGAAAAATATTTTCCCTTTTATTGAAGTGTTTTTTATGAATGCAAGGGAAGGGGGGAAAACAAAAGAAAAATACCCTGAGTTAGTAAGAAAGAATATAAAATCGGTATGCATGTCCTATGGGGGGACCCTTTTTGTGCCAAGGGTAGGCCTAGCATGAAAATGCAATCCTCTAGGGTAGGCACTATACCATACCTGATGGATCTGATCAACTCATTGAGTGAAAAATAATTTTAAAAAATTTGGTCGATTGGAGTGACGAGAGACACTTGTCAAAATGAGGACAACGTGCGAATGGGTTGATCACTTTTGATTGATACAAGAATTTGCAAAACGCACGGGTTTGATCTTGACGAACTTCCTATCGAAGAGATTCGAACTCGTTAACAAATTTTCTCAGTGAAGCACGGATCAAAACTCCAACTGATGATTTTCTCAAAATCGACTAGGTTTCCCTATTTGAAATTCGACATTGAGACCCAAATTGGTCAAATGGGTTGAATGAAGTTGACCATTTATAAAAATCGACCGAATTACCCTAAAAAGGGAAACGGGTCAAATGAATTGAGTGAAATTTAAAAACTTACTCAAAATTGGCCGGATCGTCCTAAAAAGGAATCTGATCGCATGAAATTGAGAATCTTATTCAAAATGAACCGGTTCATCCTAAAAACTGAAATTGGTCAAATGAATTAGCGATTTATTCAAAATCGACCAGGTGACCCTAAAAAGGGTAAATTGGTCAAATGACCCTAAAAAGGGTAAATTGGTCAAATGAATTGACGATTTATTCAAAATCGACCGGATGACCCTAAAAAGGGTAAATTGGTCAAATGAATGGTTTATTCAAAATTGATTATGAATTGACAAAATGGATCGATTGAATCGTCCGGCCATTGGTGGCTTCAAAAAAATTAGTCTATCAGCCTTCTAAAATCACGATTTGGCCTCAATTTATCGTCTCAACAATAAGGAATCATTTGTGAATTTTCTTCAAATTAATGTCCTTTTACGCAAGGGAATTTTACCAATTAGGTTTAAAAATGGCTAAAAAGTGATTATCAGACGCTCATATTCTAACGTGCAAAAGTTGCTTTATTCCCTTCAAAAAGATCGAATCCTTACCTTACCTTGTGCACTACCCCTTCAGATGGTACGAGAAAGGTAAACGTGCAAGTCTCATTGGATTATATATCCGAGACATGGGGTGGCTTATTCCTAACCACGGGATTCCCTATGTGGTATTCCCTTTCTATGGTTTATGCGTGATGCCATTTATTAAAGCAATGTAAATATGCAACAAATATGGCCTAAAGGGCATAAATAATGCATCGGGGGGAAGAGGCCTAAAATGAAATGTACTTATTAAAAATTAAGCATAATGACTGAAATTTAAACATGTGAGCTATCTAGTGGGTAAGTCACTAAAAGAGTGCCAAAGAGGCCTCTTATTGCTAAGGCAAATGAATGCAAGCCAAGAAAACAAAAAGAATGGTTAGTGCAATTGATAGTACACATAACACATTGGGAGCAATTAAGAAAAGAAATACAAATAAAAACAAGTAAAAGGGGTGGAACCCCTTCCCTCGTGCCTAATGTGCTTAATAGGGTAAGGTCGACTCTACCCTAGGCGAGTCTAACATGGATGCATGAGGCTGGGGCTCACTAATGCAACTAGACTCGATAAGGCTTCGGCTCCCAAGCCTTCAGACCTAAGGGAATGGGTCATCAATCCCAAGACCCTCGGTCGGTGGCTCGAGCGATCCCCTAGGTATTGCTATGGGCGCAACGCACACCATCCACATACCTAGAGAAACCATTCCTAGTCCTACAAGGCGGTGTGGGAAAGAGCCCACGAAAAATAAAAATAAAATGGGATAACAATAAGTAAACGTGCACGTATGAAGTGTTCCCTATTTTGAGGGAAAGGGTTGAGAACCAACGCGAGGTTCTAGGGTGACACACCCCCCCAAATGCAATGCAAGCGCGAGATAAACAAGTAAACATACATCCAATCAACCAATCATACATTCGTGAGCGAGGGAGTAGTTTGAGACGCGAGTGAAATGCAAAAAAATCCTAAAAAAAATGCAACCCTAAAACACCCAAATGTGATATATGAAAAGGTTAAAAGAAGAAAAAGGTTGATTAAATCAAATTTGCTCGGACTCTCAAATGTCCCCAGTGGAATCGCCAACTGTCGCGCCCCATTTTTTGATAAATAAATAAAAATGGTTTAAAAAAATATATTTTTTGTGATTGGAAAATGAATTGTGATTTAAAAGAAAAAATGGGTCTAAATGGGGGGTTGAGAATGCGACGATTTGACCCAAAATTATAGTTTAAAAAGGGTTTTTGAAATAAAAATTAGAGTCGCCACTTGGTAATGAGTTAAGGTGTACCAAGTCACCTAAAAATGAATTTTTAGAAAAAATAGGAAAAAGTAGTAAGAAACCCCTTTTAAACGACTTCTAGTTCACGTAAACCAACGAAAAAGGTTCGGGAGTCACATTTGACGAAGGGGAAGGCAAGGATAAAAATCCAAGGCACCCCTTCGACCTAGCCAAGGCTAGTTGCGTTGATTTAATCAAAGATTTTCTTGTTTTAACCAAAGAATTTATTACATTTGGATGTACTACATGAATGCAAACCCTAGGCCTAGGGGTATTGGGGAAATTTCTCTTCAAAGGTTGAGTGGTGCCAATCACATTAATTGTGAAGCCCAATAACGATCCTTTGAAGAAGTCACGAATAATGCGAGTGGGATGCAAATGAATGGAATGCATGTATGCAATGTGAGGACATGAGCTTGAAAAAGTAATAAAAGACAATAAATATGTAAATGAAAATGTGCACGTGAGTGGGCAAGGTACGGTATGTGAAATGATAATATGAAGTGCATGTGTGCAAGTGATGATAAAAGTGTTCGTGTGCAAATAAAGAAACATAAAGGTGCACGTGTGCAAAATGGGAGGAAAAATGAAAGTGTGATGAGGGTATAAAATGGTAGAGTGGATTTAAAGATGCATGAGCCTAGGGAATTCATGCATATTGGGTACGGGGAGACCTAAATCGTGACTCAATTTGCCCTTTTATAGAGGGAATACAAGCGTGCTAAGACTTAGAAAAAGCCACACTCGTCTATATCCCATATTTAAGGGGACTCTCAAGCAAATGAACCCTATAACTAGCATGAAAATGCAAAAATCCTAAAATGGAGGGAAAAGGGGTTCGAGGGGCATGCAAAATGATAAAACTAAAAAGAATGCATGACATGTAATGAACATGCAAACATGTACTAACGAGGGGAAATCCCTAAGGGTCTAGCGTTGGACTAACCCATTCTATGAATTCCGACTAGCGTTGGACTAGTGGAAACGTACATTCATCCATCACATTCATTCAGGCTATGAAAAGCGAGTAGACATGCCAAACACTTATAAACACATAGCACATAACATTTAGCATGCTCGACTAGATGCAAGGCCCTAACAAAGCAAATTAACACGTAGTAACTAAGCATGCAAGACACATAAGACAATTAAAGCCCTAACTATTACATTTGCTAGTTAGGCACATGACTTCGATAGGTCTTCATTGAATGCTCCTCCAAGCCCTATCTATTACATTAGGGAGACCCTACTACAATCTAAAAGGGGGAAAAGGAATAAAATAATTAAATCCCTAACTATTACAACTTTGGCATTCAAGTGCCTTTCAAATGATCAAATTGAACTAAAATAAATGTACAAAACCCATAAAGTAAATAAATAAATGAATGAAATGAATAAAACATTCAAGACGCATAAAATCACACATGTAAAGTCACATAAGGCACGTAGAGTCAAATATAGTAAGAGATAAGAGATTAGGGTGTACCTCCCTTGAATTAGGGACTCAGGAGATGGATTTTACTTATTTACCCTCCAAAATAATAAAAAAGTCAAGGCATCACTTTAAACAAGATATAATTACAAAAGATAGACATGAAATTGAATCAATTAAATCATATAAACAACCTACTTTAAGAAGACAAAACAATGAAGGATTTGATTGCAAAAATTAACAAAAGTTTGAGGTCAAAATTTAAAGAAAAATAAAATTTAGGGACCTATTTGCAATTACATTAGTGACCCAATTGAAAGAAGCCTAAAGTTTTTAGGGCCATAACATAATTAAGAAAAAGTCTGAGGACTGATTTGCAAATCCGTTTTCTGATTTCTTAATGGATCAGGCCACTGGGCCAACTTTTGTCTATTTTTGGGCCAAAGATCCCTTCAGCCTGCCGCAAAGCCCAGAGGCTACATATGGGCTGGCCTCTACTTATCAATAAAACAAACCCCATCCAACGAGTGGGCTTTACCTCCTAAGCCCAACCAGAAACCCAAACAAAACAAATTAAATCCACTTTTACAACTCCAAGCAAAAAAAAATTATTACCCAACCTAAACCAAAACTAAAACCCAACAAGATTAGCAAATCAACTAAAATCATCAAGCCACAATTATGATTTAAAACTCAGAATTAATCTATCCAAAAAGTCACAAAAATATGCAAATAGAGGATTAAACTAAAAAGGGTAAAATTAGTTCAATTTTCCCAAATTTTGGGCCACAACAAAATTATGCAGAGATTGAGGGGTGAAACTGAAATTTTCTGAAATTATGCTTCATGCTTCGCAGAGGCTCTCTTCTTCGATGCAAATAAGAGGAAAAGTTTCTGCAACTTTTGATGCTTCTCAAATCTAGTAAACTATCGGACAAAACACTCAAACATAGCATCTCAACATGCAAATGATGAAAATGGAAGAAATCAACTTCAGAAATCATGATTTTCTTTCCCTCTGCTCGACTAGTGAATGTTCAGGTTCTGACCAGCTTTGCACTGGCCAGAACTCTTCTCAATTGCGTACAGAAATTATATACAAATCTCTTTTTTGGTTCAAATTTCTGGTTCAGGCATTTCAACAAACAGCTACTGGGCATTAAAAGTTTTAGCAAATCTCTGCTCAATTGGGGTTATAATCAGCCCCCAGATTGTCAGCAAACCAAAGAAATTCAATCCAAACAAACACATACATCATGTGTATTCAGAAATTGAAACAAATTAACAGGAGAATTGCGCAAAAAAAACGACGGCAGACCCATTCCAAAAGTTTTACAAGAACCGAAATTTAAAGAGGGAAAACAAATAGCTTACCGTACTCCTGCTTGGTGCAATTTTGTAGGTGATGATGGTGGATTCAGGCGGGATTATGGAGGCTCCGGTTGTCCCTTCGCTCTGCTTCCTTTCAGACTCCATCTTGTCACGCTCAAGCAGCAAAAGACCGTCGACAGGCTCAGGCTTGACATGGCCCGTTGCCCTCTCGGTCTGCCTCTGCTTACCACCCTTTGCAGCAGCCATTTCTCCTCCGCGATGCCTGTCTCAAACTCAACAACGACAGAGGCTGAGGCAGCGGCATCGACGGCCTTAGCCGCTGGAGTGGAAGAAGTGGAACCCCCCCTGCTGGTTGTTTGACCACGAGGCCGTGACGATTTGAGCGACGCCGATGTTGCCGCAGTTCCTCCGAGTTTTATCCACCGCACCCCTCCTCTCTTTCTTTCTTCTTCTGTTTCTTTTTAGCCTCCGATGAAACACTCTCCTTTTTCTCTCAACCGAAGCTTTTTCTGATTTCCGGTTTTTTCCTCTGTTTTTGGCTTCCAAAATTCCGCCGCCACCTCTCTGTTGCCTTTTTTTTGTTTTTCTCATCTGAGGGCTCCCTCTCGGTCTTTCTCTCTGTTCCAGCCGCTACTCCCCTTTCTCATTCTTTCTTAGCTTCCGTTTTACTCTGCCCGAAATTCCTCCTCCAAGTTCCAGATTTCAGCCGCAAGCCTCCCCTGTTTTCTTTCCTCTGTTTTTTAGCCGAAACCTTCCCTATTTCTTGCTCTCTGTTCTTTTTCTCTGTTTTCTTGTGTTCCTCCGTCCTCGAGATGAAGCCCTGCGTTCTCTTTTCTCTTGCGCAGGCCCTTTCCCTAGCTTTCTTTCATTTTTCCCGAAGCCCCCCTTTTCCTCAAGCTCTCCGACCGTTTCTGTTTTAGTCTCCTAGATTCCTTGTTGTTTTCCTTTTTTCGATTTCTTTCTGTTTCCTCCCCGTCGCTCTTCAGATTTTTCCGGTTCCTCTAGCCTCTGCCTCTCGTTTCTAAATCTCTCCTTTGCCGAAGACCCCCTTTTTTCTTTTGCCCTCTGGCCTCTGTTTTTCTTTTTTCAGCCGTAGCTCCTCTCCCCAAAACTCCCTTGTTGCGGCTCTCTTTCTTTTCCTATTTATATGGCACATTCAACCCTAAAACCCCCAGCCACTTCCTCTGAAATTACAGCCAAAGGGCTGCCAAGTCCTTCTTTGCAAGCTGCGGCAACACGCAGCTTTTGGCATGCGTGACTCTTTTTTTTTTTTATAACTTAATTAAACAAAATTGAAAATAGTAAAAATAAATAACAAAACAAATTAATTAACATTAGAAACAACAATGTGCAATTTTCATTTTTCATTTTCCATTTTCATTTTTCCCTCTTTTTTTTTCTAAATGAACCAAACGAAAATAAAATAAAAGATAAATAAAGTAGAAATGACTAAAAATAGATAAATAAAGCCAAATAAAACGAAATTGCTATTTTTCTTTTTCCCTTTTTTTCCTTTTTTATGATTTTTCTTTTTTTCTCTTTTTTCAAGAAATTCTATGCTAAAACTTAAAAATAAAGATAAAAATAAAACTAGAAACTAAAAACTAACAATCGAATAAAACTAACACGATAAATAAAAAACTAAAAATAAACAGTAAATGAAATTACACCAAAAATTTGGTGTCTACATGGTTCATGAAGAAGACTGCCATAACCACCTCAACATCAACCAATTCTCTCAACCCACATCAATGATATATAGGCAAACAACCACACCCACGTGGTAGTGGTTTTCCTTGTCTATATGGTTAATCATAAGGCTAAGAGCTAAACCACTTTCTTTTCTATTGATTTCTTTATGTTGTGGGTTGGGTTGGGTGGAGGGGGTTTCGGTTTTCTAAATGTTATAAGGTTGTTTAAGACTGGCAATTAAATCCAAACTCAAGAATCCGTCCAATCTGTCCACTAATTTTAAAGGTTGGGTTGGAGCAATTAGATGATCGCTCACTTTTAAGTTGGGTGACAAAAATTCAAATGTTTCTTGGGTGGATTGGACTTTTAGTTGGACATCTATTGACCCAAATTAACCAAATACAGTTTAAATGTTGGAAGTCTTTATAGTTAAAGTCAACTAAAGAGTCAAATGTTGGAAGTCTTTATAGTTTCCGTAGAAGTCTTCTGTTTTTTTTCCTCTTTTTTCTTTTTTGCTATGAATTTTTGGCTAATTACTTCTATCATTTCACATATCTCCGTCAAACATAGTTGCTAAATCTCTATATTTTTTTATTACCTTATGAATCGGTGCTTCGTATTGTAAGATCGAACTACATTGATGTGCCTGTGCAACTGTGTAAAGTAAAGCTACTAGATTTCTTTCTTGTCCTTGGAGAATTTGCATTGGTTGGAGGTTAGTTATAAGGAATGTGTAGATGAAATTTTAGAATTGGTGATGTCCTTACTTGTTTTCTTCTAATTTTCTTTTTTAGGAATTTTACTAAAATTTATTTTGAGCAATACAAACGAATCAAGTTCAACCTTTAGGACTAAAACAAACCAATGTATTTGAAATTTCAAAAATTAGATACTTATCATATAAGGATAATTTTAGAAACCATTAGCCAATTTTGGCGAATGACTTATTATTCTTGAAGTTTCCAAAATTATATGGCACTTTTTATTTTGACACCCACTGAATTAAAAACAGGGTGGATTGGGTTTTTCCCTAAATATTTTTCCATTATTTAGTTTTTATATAATTTTTCGATTTTCCCTTTACAAATAATAGTAATAGTTTAATGGTATGTGAACCTTGATTTTCTTTCATATTTTTAAACTATTCTAGAGTATATTATTTTTCTTTTAAAGTATTTATTTGAATTCTAGCATTCAATTTGCAAAATCACTGTTAATTGTAGTTATTAGTTGTCAACACAATGTATGCATATTTAAATATACACATACATATATCATTAGAAAATTGAAACTTTAATCAAGTAAACAATATATGCTTTATTTATATTTCTTTTGAACAAACAATATGAGTATATAACATATAAATTATGTAGGTAAAGTTCAAGGGAATATTAACCCATAATATTACTTTGACATTTGGAGTTTGTCATTTTATACCTAGTGGAAATAGTGAGATGTATGTGTGCTTAGAAAGTGCGTGTAAAAATGTGTAGGAAGAGTGAAATGTGAGCAGGTATGTGCGTGAGTTGAGCATGAAAATGGGCAACAAATAGTTTGTAAGTATTTTTCAACGTGAAAGTGTGTTTGTGACATAGAGAGATGGTGATAGAACATGTGTTAGAAATAGTTTACAAATATTTCATCAAATGAAAGTGTGTGAAAATATGTGTATTGGAAAAATAATATGTCCATTCAAGAATTTAATAAGTTAGTTTGCGTGTGTGTGTATGTGTGAAGGTATGTTAGAGTTTATTTTAGCGTGTTTTTTTTTTTCAGATCTGGAGGCTAATTCCCCAAGACTGGGCAGAGCTTTAGCCCCAAAGATACCCAACAACGGTAGCATGTGAGGGTCGAACCTGAGACCTTGCTATAACTACAGACGACCAGTCCCAACCGAGCTATCCACGAGGGACTATTTTAGCGTGTTTGTATATGTGAAAATGATGTGTTTCTATCCAATGAATTTAAGAAATAAGTGTGTATTGGCACGTGTAAAAGTGTTTTAGTGCATGAAAATATGGTTATACATGTGAAAATGTGTTTATATGTGTGAAAAAAATCATTTTATGTGTGCAAATATGCGTGAGAGAGTATTATATATCAAAATATATGAAAGAAAAAATATCGCCAATTTGGTCTTTCAACATGTTTACTTAAGTCGATTTCATCCCTGAACTTTTTTTTTTAGTCTAATTTAGTTCTTAAACTTTAATACTACAACTGATTTGGTCCTTCTACGGTAGCACCACCAGTAAAAGTTTCTCTGACAAAAAAACAACTAGTCAACCAAGGGTAACATAGGTATTACAAGCAAAGTCTTATGATAAAGTGAAGAAGTAATTTTCATTAAATAGGGGAGAAAAATAGATTTTCGATTAAATTGGGGAAGAAAATAAAAATTGGTAAATTTATTCATAAATAAAAACCAGTGTTATGGTTTGTTCTTCTTCTCCACTTGATTGCCACTGTAATGTTTGTTTGCCAGAGTTTTCCTCTCTCACTGGCATTACATAACATGCTAATACACACATACAAGTTCACTGAAGACCAAAAGCAATAAAGAAATATGAAATCTAGAAAAAAACTTTTTGCTACTTTAGATCTTCATCGGAAGCACTAGTAGAGTTAGCAATGGCCTTTGTAGCCCCTGCTTGCTCAGACATATGTCACATACACAGTACAACAATTAATTAGTTTTCCATTGTGGCATTCTCGCAAACAGTTTGAGGGCATAAATACACCTAACCAATGTGTGTTTTTTGGGTCATATTTATCATAGTACTACTAAATAAATACATAACAATCAAACATTTAAAGTTTCAGAGTTTCAAGCAAACAAGAATTGCCTTTGCCTCCACTGTACTTTTCTTTTCCATTCAGTTTTGGTGTCCCTCATTTATTTTCCTCAAATTTCAACACTTGAGCAATTCATATGAAAAGCCCCTTGAGTTTAGATGATAATTTAGAGTTTCAAAGATCCAAAAAGTGCAATGATAGTGCAGATGCTTGAAAATTTTTATGAATTTGAAGATGATTTTGGGAAGAAGTTTTATGGATGGGAAGGTTGGTGATTGAGTTGGGTTAGACGGATGAAAGTTGATGATAATTGGGATTTTGTTGCCAATTTCTTTTTCCTCCCCACTTTAATAGACAATTTCAGTTTTTCTCTCCTAATTAATAGTCAAATATTTTATTTATAATCTAAGTATGATTTTGCTTGTAATTCTTGTATTATCCTTGGTTGACTGGTTGTTTTTTGGTCGGAGAAACTTTTATTGGTGGTGCTACCACAGAAGGACCAAATTAGCTACAATATTAAAGTTTAAGGACTAAATTAAGCTAAAAAAATGCTCGAAGATGAAATCATCTTAAATAAAAAAGTTAAAGCACTAAATTGATGATTTTCTATATATCAAATAATATGTTGGGTCATATATGAGTCATAAGTTTTAATTGACCTAATATGACCTAATCCAATATTTACTCAATCTATAATCCGACAAGTTGGGTATAATCGAAAGAAAATGTTAGGCATCTCAAGATTTAGGTGAATTAGTAAGTAGAATCAACAAGAAAGAGAAGGAGACATGAGTTAAGAGAGGGGACGAGTTGAAAGAAGATGAGAGGAAAATGAGAAGAAATCAGAATCCGAATCAATAGCAAGGAAAATGTGTTATTGTTTCTTATTTTTAAATCCACTACACATTCTAGAATTTATACAATCGAATGAATTGCCAGTAACTACTTCACTACAGCTAACTAACTCTTCTGCATTTCTGTTGCAATGATAGTAACTACTTTGGCTACTTATGATATTTACACTAATGACCCCTGGCAACTTTTGCCTTTTTCAATTAAGCCCTCGTCCTGTCAATATCCCCTTCGATTAAGAGTAGTCTTGTCCTCAAGGCTGGAAGTTTGGAAATTGGCTGTTGATGAAAGATTGATCTTCCCAAGAGGACTCCTCCTCTCCTAATTGATACCATTTGATAAGATATTGAATGACAGGAACAACATTCCTCATGATAACTTTTCTCTTCAAAATTGCAGCTGGCTGTAAAAGGCACTGATCATGGTAGTCAAATTCTGGCAATGTTGAAGTGGTGGTTTGGTGTGGTCCCAACTTTGGTTTTAGTAGTAAGACATGAAAGACTGGGTGTATTTTTGCTTTTGCTGGAAATCGAAGCTTAAAGCCACAACACTTATCTTTTTCTATAACTTGAAAAGGTCCAGAGAATTTAGTAGCCAACTTTAAGTTCTTTCTGAGAGCTATTGATTGTTGTCTATATGACTGCAGCTTAAGAAAGACCCAATCATCAACCTCAAACTGCCTCTTTGTTCTGTTTATTAGCAAATGTCTTCATTCTGTTCTGTGCTTGGTGCAAATGTTCCTTGATTCTATGGAGCATCTGAGCTCTTACCTATAACATGTTGCTGGCTGCCGGTATTACTGTATCATGATAGGGCCCCATAGGTAAGGATAGTGGTTTATAACCATAAAGGGCTTCAAAAAGGGAGACTCCCAAGCTGGTATAATATGAAGTGTTATACCATAGTTCTACTAGGCTGAGCCAGTGACTCCATTGAGTTGGAACCTTACTTGTCATGCACCTCAAATAGGTTTCCAAACACTGATTCAGTCATTCACTCTACTCATCAGTTTCTGGATGATAGGAGGAACTGTAGTGCAACTCAGTTCCAGCCATCCTAAACAACACTTGCTAGAATTTACTGGTGAAAATTTTATCTGTATTAGTTACAATAAACTCTAGTAAGCCATGGAGTTTATAAATGTTGTTTAGGAATACTTGTGCCACCTGAGCAGTTGAGAATAGATGAGCAAGGGGGATGAAATCGCCAAATTTGGTCAGCCTATCTATAACCACTAGAATGGTGTCAAATCCCTTTGAACAAGGCAACTTTTCTATAAAATCCATGGTAATGTGTGACCATGCTTGAGTGAGAATAAGTAGAGGCTGTAGTAGTCCTAGATAGGGTAGATGTTCACTCTTATTTCTCTGGCAAACTTCACACTCTTGTATGAACTGAATAATCTCCTTTTGCATCCTTGGCCAATAGAATATACTACTGATCCTTTGTATACATGCCCTCTGTCCAGAATGGTCCCCAATAGAGGATTCATGTAGCCTTGATTATCTTCTGCATTATTCATTGGCTATTTCTCACATACAGCTTCCCTTTATACCTTAGTAACCCTTGGCTTAACTGAAAATTAGAGTTCTATGCTGCAAGATCCAAAAGTAACTAACTCATTGATTCTTGGCACCGCTTGTCCTCAAAGTAATTGTCTTGTAATTCCTGCATCCAAAGAGGTTGAACACTTGTCATTGCCATTAATTGTTGTTGTTTAGGTTGAAGTTTTGCAACATTTCTTCTAGATAAGACATTAGCTACTGTATTTTCTGAGCCCTTCTTGTATTGAATTTCATAATCCAACCCCCGCAGCTTTGTCAGCCATTTGTATTGAGTAATCCAACCCCCGCAGCTTTGTCAGCCATTTGTATTGAGTAGTAGTGGTTAGTCTTTGCTCTAGCAGGAATTTCAATGAGTTATGATCTGTCCTAATGATAAAGTGGTTCCCCAGTAAATAATGCTTCCATTTTGTTATTGCAAAAACTAGTGTCATCAACTCCTTTTCATAGACAGATAATCCCATACTCTTGGAGGAAAATGCTTTACTGATGAATGCTATGGGATGACCCTCTTGTAATAATACTGCTCCCATGCCTTAGCCACTGGCATCTGTTCCTACAACAAAAGGAATATCAAAATTGGGTAACCTCCATAACTTTGTATGAAACGACTGTAGTACCCTGTGAGCCCCAGAAAACCCCTAAGCTCATTAACAGACTTAGGAACAGGCCATGAGAGGATGCATACTACTTTGGTCATATCCATACTAACTTCTTCACTAGATACTACATGACCCAAGTATTCCACTTTCTTTTGAGTAAAGAACACTTTGAAAGCTTGGCATACAACTGGTTGTGCTTGAGTACTTCCAATACCTGTCTTAGATGTTTCTCATGAAGGTCCAAGGTGGTTTTGTAGATCAAAATATCATTAAAGAATACCAAGACAAACTTCCTCAGAAAGGGCTCAATCACTTGGTTCCTTAGAGCTTGAAATGTTATAGGTACATTTGTTAACCCAAATGGCATCATCAGGAATTTATAATGGCCTTGATAAGTTTGAAAGGCAGTCTTATGCCTATTTTCCAACTTCACCCTAATTTGATGATACCTTGACCTCATATCAATCTTAGCGAAGAACCTAGCACCATATAATTCATCCAAGAGCTCATCAATGTTAGGTATTGGATATCTATCCTTTACTGTCAAGTCATTGAGATGCCTATAGTCCACGCAAAAATGCCATGTGTTGTTCTTTTTCTTAACCAATGACATTGAGAATGTGATAGCCTCACATCCCCCTAAGGCGTACCTAAAGGTTTGACAGATCGCCTGTCCAACTCTCACCAAGACTCACTCACGCACCATAAAATTTACAAAATAACAACTTCAATAAAAAGAGTATTAATAATTACAACCTTAAATATATAACCATGGACATCAAATTTTCAAACAATCTCTTAATACAGTCAAGGAGTCGAGCTTACAAAATAAAACCAAGCAAGCCCGCTAGAGAGTTAATGACTGTTCACGCGAGCGGCTAACCAAATCTTAGACAAAGACTATGCCTTCTCCACTCCCACTCTCACATTCTCACCTCTGTAAGGAAAACAAAATTCATGGAATGAGTTAGAAACCCAATGAGGTTCCAAGAGAACAGGCAAGTAAACCAGCGGCCATGATACCATTAAGTCAAACTCGGATAGAGCAGGACATAATGCATAATAAATCAGGTAACCATATAGATCATGCAATAGTGTACAGTAAAGAACACGTTCATGACAAAGGATATGGGCTGCTCTCAGGAGCAGGTTCCACCGTAGCTTGTCCAGGGTCCGTTGACTCTCTGTCAACCATGGAATTATAATGTCCATAGATCACCACTAAACATCGATCTCCGTCCACCAATCAACCCCCTTCCGGGCCCGAATGCCAGTAAAGTACTCAGGGTTCGTCAATCTCATCAATCAACCCTTTGTCGGCTCGATTCAACCAACTAGCCCTGGGTTGGGCTTATAGCCCCAGGTATTCAAGTATTCAAAATCTGGACCCCAAGTATTCAAGTATTCAAAAGTGGAGTCGTTACTTTTATACAACACTCACGCAGGTAATGATTGGAGACGTTAGCTGTCACCTAACGCTCCGTATTCAGGCATGTCACGAGTTCAAATCATGAATTCAAGTCAGGAATAAACAGATTAGGAATTTCATCCTTTACCCAATGTTGCCCAACTTACCCAACCACTCTAAGGCTGATTTCAAGCAAGAGGTCCAACGAGGATTTAGTTTAGCCGTTACTGACCAACATTTACATATACGCATGAGTAACCCAAGTTCCTACTTAGCCGACATCTCGGATAAGGGTCCAAGAGTCTAGTTCAACCGCTGTAAGAAGATATACAGTCGGTTTACAAATCATGCACATGTGCATGCAAGTCCGCATGCAAAATCAAGTATTTCAACTTCACGGAGATCGAGTGCCAGTAAGGAGACACTCGCTTAACCAAGACCAAGTCACAAGTAGGCTCAACACGTCACGTTGTTCAAGCATTTCAAGTATTTCAAGTCAAGATATATGATATATGTAAATCAAGTTACTTGTACATGTATAAATGAGATATCAAAAGTTTAGTCAAATTAGATCAAGTGCAATAAAGTACACACTTGTCCAAAAAATGACAAATCAAGTGCCTAGTAATTTTAGCAACAAGTAGCATGGAACACGCAGTTGGAACACCCACCAGTTCAAACAGAGCAATGTTAAACGTTCGTCTCCAGGTTATTTGTGTATTTACCATCAAATCCTAAGAGCAACCAAGATAAAATATTATGGACCAATCCTCCAAAAGTTAGGTGAACCAAGTTCACATTTAGACTCAACTATGAGCCATACGCCTATCAAGTTGGCCTTTCAAAAACTCAAAGTTCAAAGACAAATTCAAAGATGCAAATCAAGGAAAATCCAAGTAGATACTAGGGCAATGATTCAAGTATAGTTTTGGAGTGAAAAAAATGCATTTGGACCCAAGAAACATGAATAACCAAAGAGTTCCCTATTTCAATCCATGGCTGGAAAATTCCAGCAGCAAAACAGTGAAGGAAAACAAGGTAGTTCACCTCTTTAAGTTATGATATTCACTCCAATTCAACCCCCCATTGTAGTTCAAGGTTTTAGCAAGTGAAATGAGCAAGATTGAGTCCAAAAGACCTCTAAATCAAAGGACTTTCAGCTAAAAGATAGTAGGGTATAAAGCTGCCCTGCCTTCCAAGAATTTCCAGCAATGAAACAAGCTCAATCATGAGGTTTTTACCTACCAAAATGCATGGTTTTCACCCAAGTTCAACACACAAGAGTCGTAACCAGTGTTTGGAACAAGATTTGGCCAACACTCATCATGAAAAGGTTGAGAAAAAACAAGGTAAATTGCATCACTATCCACTTGGCCCACAAGCAAAATTTGCAGCCAGTAAATTAGAGAAAATTTCCAATGAAAACCCTCCATTTCATCTAAAATTCAACACATTAGTAAGGTTTAAAGGTTTACCAAGCATCCTAGACAAGTTTATGACAAAATCACCTTAAAATTAAAGGAAACCAAGCTGGTTCCTAATCGGCCAGCAAGCAAGACAAAAACAACAAACCTCCCCTAGTTTCCTTAAGTTTCTCCTCAACATTTTAAAACTTAATTTCATGGTAAAACATCCTTATTTTCATCACAGTTACACAATATATCATATCCAACAAGTAGTGAGTTTAAAAATCATGAATTTTAGCAAGGAAAGTGAAATTTGTAGCGCTCGAGTACCTTTGAAACGGAAAGTTTTCAGCAAGCATCATTCCTTTGAAAAATCATAACTTGAGTTATAAATGTTAAAAAATCATACAACTTGGCCCATTAAAAACTAGACTTGAAACCTTAACAATCTTTAGAAGACATCTCATGGAGATTAAGTTCATAAATTGATCCAAATTAGGTCACAAATTACTACAACATTCCAGTTTTTACTAGTGCAGGGCAGACTTTTCAGTCAACTTTGCCGATTTCCTGATATTTATAGAGATTGAACCTATGACGATCCCACCTTCCCTTAGGGCGTACCCAAGGATTTGGCTGATCACCTGCCTAACTTTTCCCAGGACTCACTCACTAATGTTCTTGAAATAGCCTTTCAAGTCTTGAAGTTAACATAAAAGTTACATTTCCAACCAGTAATTCAAACTTAATTTACAATCCAAAAGTAAAACATAGGATTACATTTTCAAAGATTCCAAATACGTCTCATCTACAAAAGTACAAGTATATGAAAGTTATACACCCTAGTTCATGCCTACTTGCTCCGGCCTCCACTCCTGTAAGGAAAACAAACTAACGAAATGAGCTAAAAGCTCAGTGAAGTTCCCAAACATGCAGTCAGGTAGAGAAACTATGGAAGTATGGCATTTAACAGTTTGAACACTTTACACAATAATAAACAGTCATTCAAGAAATAAACATTCATTCATTGGAAGGATACATGCTCACTTGTAGCCATTCATTCAGTCATTCAGTCGCTGACCATTTCTCTTATTCCTCCGTTATTTGAAAAAATTTGCAAGTTAAAATTCCTTCAGTGTTCATGTCATTCATTCATTGTATTGAATTCACTTGTCAGTTCTCCACCAGATTTCGTGGTAATGCTCGAGTTTACCAAACATTGTCCCAGGGTTACCGGCCGCCTGACAGAGTTCGCTTCTGGCTCGAGTTGACTGGCAATGAAGGGCAAAGGTGAAACTTAGTCAAAAGGCTTACATTCATGCACAAATAGCATTCAATCATTGAAAATTCACTTTTGCTTCGGTCGAGTGCGATAAAGTACACACTTGCCCATCGAAAATCCATTTAGCAATCATTGAAAAGCATTTAACATTCTAGCAACATTCACAATATTTCACATAGTCATTTAAAGCATACATATGCAAGGAACACTCATCTTTTAAAGTAGACCAAAGCTAAACGTTTGACTCCGGGTTGTGCTCGTTTCCACCATTAAATCCTAAAAGTAACCAAGACAAGATGTCATGGTCTGATTATTCAAAACTTAGGGTAATAAGGTGCTCACTTTAGCCTTAATCATGAACCATACGCCTATCTAAATTCGGCCTCTCAAAACACAAAAGTCAAAGACAAATTTGAAAGCCAATCGAAGAATGTTCAAGTGCATTCTAGGGCTATAAAGTACACTTGTTTAAGACCACAAAACCATCTAAAATCACACCAATTAAAGTTTAAAACCTAGAAAAGTTTTCCAAGTTCCACTCAATTCATTTGACAAAATTTTTCAGCTTTGGTGACATTTTTTGAAAAAATATAAAGGTTCCATAGGTTAAAAAACCACAAAACTTACACCATTAGAAAATAGACTCAAAGTACTAATAGACTTTAGAAGACATCTTCATGAAATTCAACTCATAGGTTAGTCAAATTTTCAGTTTAAAATCACTACTATCTTATGTGCAAAACAGAACAGTCATGATTTTTCAAGAAATTTTGTAAATTTGCTGGTATTTATAGGAGTTGAACCAACCCCTAATTTTTACACGATTAAAAGAGCTATGAGTCTAGTTTCAAATGTAATAAACAGAACTCAATTCGGATTTTTCTACACCAAGATATGATAGATTTCCCAAGACTGCTCAAAATCTCCTGCGGGAAAAATTTTCAACAACACTTCCCCTTATTTTTCCCTAATTTCCAGCCATTTTCAAAGCTTTATTCTCATCACAAAACAGTCTCAAATAAAGCATATACATACCAGGCCACCAACTCACTAAATCAAGCATATACATAACATATAACTATCACTTACTCAAGTTGAAAAAATTAAACCCTAGGCTGGAAAATTCACTACCAAAGCTAGAAATTCACAAACAAGGCCAGAAATTCCTCAAGTAACACCAAAATTGCATATATAAGTTGGGAAATCTTTATGACAGGTTAACAACTCCATAACAAAGCTGGAAATAATGTATCAAATCTGGAAATAATCAACAAAGGCTGAAAACGGCAACCTACTACACAAAACCACAAGAATCTTCCCTCAACCTACTACAATCAAGTCATATTTCCAACCAAATGCAAGATTAAAGAGGAAGAGTGGTTCCTTACCAAGAAAACCTGCAATTCATAAGGAGACTAGCAGCCTACAACTTTCTTCCCAAAAATCACACCACGCAAAGTCCCTTCCTTCCTTGTTGCTCCCTTCTATGGATTGGTTTAAGGTTTGAGGTTGATTTC